AAATTAAAATCAACAAAGGGGGCAAGTTTGCATCAAGGAGAAATACTCACAACTGTCACACTGAAGCCTGGCCAGTCATGAAACTCATGTGCAGCACGCCTTGCTGTGCTCTTCTAATCACCCTGGTGTCTGGCTGCTCAAAATGGGATGCCAGACGATTTCCTCAACCTCCCACCTCACCATAAACATCTCCCCCTTACTCTCACAGTTATTATGGAGCACACAGCAACCAGCAATAACAATGCGAATGTTGGCTGCACTGAGGTCTGACCTAGTCAGCAAACAGCGCCAGCGAGCTTTTAAATGGCCAAAGGCACATTCTACCACCATTCTGCACTTGCTCAGCCTGTAGTTGAACTGCTCCTTAGCACTGTCTAGGCTGCCTGTGTACGGCTTCATGAGCCATGGGAGCAAGGGGTAACTACTGGGAACTGGGTCCCCAAGGATAACTATTGGCATTTCAACATCTCCAACGGTAATTTTCTGGTCTGGCAAATAAGTCCCTTCTTGCAGCTGCTCGAACAGCCCAGAGTTCCTAAAGATGCGAGCATCATGCACCTTTCCTGGCCATCCCACGTTGATGTTGGTGAAACATCCCGTGTGATCCACCAGTGCTTGCAGCACCATTGAGAAGTACACCTTGCAGTTTACTTAATGGTTGGCAAGGTGGTCTGGAGCCAAGATAGGGATATGCGTTCCATCTATCGCCCCACCACAGTTAGGGAAACCCATTGCAGCAAAGCCATCCACTATGACCTGCACATTTCCTAAAGTCACTACCCTTGATAACAGAATGTTAATGATTGCATTGGCTACTTGGATCATAGCAGCCCCCACAGTAGATTTGCCCCCTCCAAATTGATTCCCGAGCTTCCACAGGGTATCGTCACTTGCTTCTCAGCTGTCAGGGAAGCTCTCATCTTGGTATTCCTGCACTTCAGGGCGGGGGAAAAGCAACTCACAGAGTTCCAGGAAACTGGCCTTATGCATGTGAAAGTTTGCAGCCACTGTGAATCATTCCATACCTGCAACGCTATGCGGTCCCACCAGACTGTGCTTGTTTGCCAGGCCCACAATACGGGTTCCACTGTATCAACCAGCCCCACTGCCACCATGATGTCCCAATTGCCACAGCCCATGCTTTCAGGAACATCTGTGTCCATGTCCTTATCAAAAACGTCCTCATGCTGGCATCTCTTAGCCCGGTTCCACATATACTCCAGGATAACGCGTGAGGTGTTTACAATGCTCACAACAGCAGTGGTGAGCTGAGCAGGTTCCATGTTTGCTGTGGTATGGCGTCTTCAGGAGAGCAGAGTTGCAGCGGAAGTGGTGGATGACGGATGCCATGAGAATAGATATTTATACAGAATGACGAGAGGACCTGCGAGGTGGATTCATGGCACCAAGACAGCAGAGTTGCAGTGGAAGTGGTGGATGACGACAACACGGAGAAATTTGCTATTGAGACTGAGCTCATTTACAAGAGCAGGAGAGCAGAGCTGTAGCAGAAGCGGTGGAGGATGACGGTTAGCAGTCGTACTGCACCGTCTGCTGACGGCAGCACCCAGGGCACAACAGCTGAACTGAGTGGGCTCCATGCTTGCCATGATATAGCATCTACATGGAAAAAAGGCGCAAAACGATTGTCTGCCGTTGCGTTCCCGGAGGGAGGGGCGACTGACGACATGTACCCAAAACCACCCGCGACAATGTTTTTGCCCCTTCAGGCATTGGGAGCTTAACCCAGAATTCCAATGGACAGCAGAGACTGCAGGAACTGTGTCACCGCTCCGTAAGTCAATGCTAGCCATGGTAGTGAGGACGCACTCCACTGACTTAATGCACTTAGTGTGGACATATGCAAACGACTGTATAAAATCGATTTCTAAGAATCGACTTCTATAAAATCGACCTAATTTCTACTTTCTCGATGCAAGAATTAGTCCCTCTGGAAAAGGGACTTTCAATCTCACTCACAGTGTAGACCTCACTTCCTAGAGACTGCAATGTGGACCATCTCATTTTCAATCATGAAGGTCATTGCCCCACATGACTGAAATTGTAGAACATCCCAGTAGCAAGTACACACACACAAAATACAGTTTTGGTATATTACTAGCTGTTGAGCATCTGGATACAAGGAAGAGAGGTAGCAGCTTGTGCCGAGCCAAATCTCTCTGAGGACAACCGGCATGTGCTCTATAGACCAACAGTGGTCCATGGACCACACTTTGAGAACAGCTGCTCTAGAAAAAGGATTGAGGTACATCGATGACCAGAAGGGGATATCTGATAGTGCTTCTACACATAGTACACCTAAGGATTTCATTTTCCATGGCTGCCAGTGTGGCAACTGCCACAAACAATGCATGTGCTGTTTTTAAAATTTACACCAAAGGAAAGGTGTTTTTGTCACCTAGTTAATCTTTCATTTTAGTACCATGCATGGCCATATGGGCTTTATGAAAATGGGCACCCTACTTCTCTTTAAATGGTTTATTCTCTATCATTTTATTTAGTATTTATATAGCACCATAAGTCTGCATGGCGCTGGAGAGAAATTAAAAAGTTCTGTTTCTGCTCTGAGTTACACAGGGGAAAATCTGAAGGAACGCCATGGAAATCAATGGATATACATCCATGGAGGCAAAAAAATAGAATCTGACCTATTGTCCCTACCTCAGAGAGCTGACAGTCTGGGTTATTGTCAACAGATGAAGGGAGGGGCAGGAAAGAGAAGAATAAGCACTATAGCAAGTCAGATGCTGAAATATGATGGACATTTAAGTTGCCTGTGTAGTCGTTAGTGATTATTTTCTGTTTGGTTTTGGAATTTTAGACTGAGGTAAGGCAAAAGTGGAACAAACAGTGCTGGGGCTGTTCAGTGGAAAGTTAGTGGGGGACTAGGCACTAGCAGTGGAAAGCTAACTAAAAGAAGTGGGTTTGAAGAAGGATTTTAAAGGACAGAGAGGATGCATTCAAGCACATACAGGGCAGGGAGAGCACAGCTATAGAGACATGAGGAAAAAGAGGAGGCAAAGGGAGCAATGAGGCAAGAAGAGTGGGAAGAGTCTGGGATGCAACTTGGGAAGTAGGTAAAAAACAAGGGCGGAGATTCAGACAGCAGCAGAATCATTCAGTACCTTGAAAGTGAGAACAAGGAGGTTCAATTTGATACGGATAGAAACTGAGCCACTCAAATGATTTAAAGGGTTGGGGTTACAAGATCAGCATGGAAGGAAAGGATGATCATTCTAGCCAACATGCTGCAGATAGAACAGAGGAAAGAGGGGAAGGATCAGGGATTCTAAAAGGTAGGTGGTGCACACCAGGTGTGAGGGAGAAGAAACGAGGTTGCTGTCAACAAGATGCGAAGAGAAAAAGAAAGAGAGAGGAGCAAAACATGACCAAAAATTGTGAGCTTGAATGATTGAGAAAAGAGTGGAGAGTTCAGTGTTAATGAGGCAGTAGAGGAGGAGTGATGAATTCAGATTTTACCATGGACAGTTTGTGGAAGTACCAAGATATCAAGACAGGAGGAAATGCCAGAAAGATGGGGAGAGATGGGAGCCTAGACAGGGAAAGAGATCAGAATGGAGAGGCAGATTTGAGTATCTGCAGAGGTGCGAGAGTATTTTCATGAGGCTGTTCAGGAGGAAAAACTTGGCTGAGAACAGAATCCTGGAAATCATCGACTAATAAGGGCAAGTATGAGAAAGAGGATCCACTGAATTAATACTCATCCATGAAGTACGAGAACCAAGGAGTTATGGAAAGTGAAGGAAGGAAGGAGGGTCTAAAGGAGATGTGGGTGTTAAAAACATGGTGTTAAAGACACCTGAAAAATGAAGAATACTTCACTCTTACTTAGCATTTTTCATCTACATAGCTCATAGGCTTTATTGAGAAGTATCATTAGGCCCATTGCAGAGAGTAAAACTAAGGCACTGAGACTTGCCCAAGGTCACAGAACGGGACAGGAGGGTTGCAGAGTTAGGAATAGAACCAGGTCTCCTGAGTCCCAGTCCAGTTCCCCATCCACTAAGCCATCCCTCCTCCTCCCTTAGACCAGTGGTTCTCAACCTTTTTCTTTCGGAGGCCCCCACAACATGCTATAAAAACTCCACAACTGTTTCTCTGCATAGCCAGTAGATTAAAAACAAGGGCCAGCATTAGGGGGTAGCAAGCAGGGCAATTGTCCGGGGCCTCATGCCACAGGGGGCCCCACGACGCTATGTTGCTTGGGCTTTGGCTTCAGCCCTGGCCAGTGGGGCTTGGGCTTCAGCTTTCTGTCCTGAGCCCCAGCGAGTCTAACTCAAGCCCTGCTCTCTGGTTTATTTTGGCGGACTCCCTAAAACCTGCTTACGGCCCCAGTTGAGAACCACTGCCTTAGACTCAGAAAGTAAGTGGCTTTTGTTAAGGCCCTTTTCTGTGGGGGAGAGCAGCAATCTCACTAGGAGGAGGGGAGATCAAGAAAACACTTGAATGAAAGGCAGAAGTTCTCTGGGAATAGATAATCCACCTCAGTAGCTTTGAAATGAAGCAAGCCCCAGGGAAGATGAAGGAGAGTGAAGTGAGGGCTAACTTGGGCAAGGAAACAACATGCTGAAGATAAAGGAAAGGAGCCAGAGGTGACTGATAAGAGAGAGGGAAGGAAAAAGGCTGATTATGAGGGAGGAAGAGTGGGCCATGGGGTGGAGGAAATAAGCTGAGATTTAAGGTGGACAGAAGCAAAGATTTCAAGAGTTTAATCTATTTATTATTTGATTACAGTAGTTCCAAGGGCCTCTATTGAAATTTCTAGGCACCCTATAAACAAATAGTGAGAGATAGTCCCTGCCCTGAGGAGTTCACAGTTTAAATAGGGAGACAATCAAAGGAGGGAGGGGTGGACTGCACAAGGATGGGGAAGAAAGGCTCACACAGTATTTGCACATAGAAAAGTGTGCTGTAAACATTTTAGCAAGGCTGTGCAAGTAAAGAGCAGGAAGCCTTACCTCCAGGGCAACTTCTCCACTTCTGCCTCGGTGAGGTACTTCATAAGCCTCAATTTGTTGTTTTGTGAGTCGCGCTAATCTTTCTGCCAGCTCTCTCCAGCATTTGCCAAGCTTGACAGCCGAAGTCAAAAGGACAGTGTCCTGGATAAGACGTGCTACTAATCCTTGGCAATCTAACTTCAGAAGTGCCTGCAGAACAATTTTTAGAATCAAGCAGCTTGGTCAGTATTTGAGAGCAAATAATTATTGTTTGTTCCTGTAACTATCCAGTAGATCTTTTCAAACGTTAAGTTAGGCTAAACCTTTCTAGGTTCTCTATAAAAAAAGTAACCGTGTTTACACCTTTGGTACAAAAGGGATAGCCAATATTTTGTATAGGAAAGTTGCCCATAATCTCAAGAAAAAAATTAAATTGGCATCCCATTGCTTCAGCATTCCAGCGTCAGTTGAATTCTGCCAAGTTTGAGGATCCTGAAGGGAAAATAGCTTTCTCCAACATAAATATTTGGGACCTAAAATTTAGCTTCATGAACCTTAAAAATGAAATCAGAGGATGGTTATAATAAGGTGCGGTCCTTGTTCCACTTCTTTTCCAGAAAATCACTGATTACATTGGCCAGAGCATTTTAATTTCATCCTTCTGAATACCTGATAATTTGCTGACTATGATTCAAACTTACAAGGACACAAAAAGGGAAAACAAAACGTGTTATTTGGAACAAAGCAAATTAAAATGGTTCCAGTAGAAAAGTCCTGAAATGAATACATGTTATATTTCTGCTTTCTTATTGGCTTAGATTAGAGCAGGGTGAAAAATAACATTTTTTTCTGCAGAAAATTTTCTATGGACAATATCAACTGTTCAGTGAAATACCAAAAACCAAAATATTGCACCAAAAATTTAAGTTTTTGGTTTTCAGATGTTCAGTTTTTCTGAAAAAGTATCAACATGTTCTGCAGAAAGCGGATAATTTTTGGAAAATTTTGTTTAGCTAAAACCCCAATTTTCTGTTGAAAAACAGTTTTGAGGGAAAATTTTCAATGGGGTGCATTTTGTGGGACTGAATGAAACCTCTGATCTGTGCTGCCAGACCTTTTATGAACAGGAGTAATTTGACACAAATAGTAATAGTGTTCATTGCTAGTTGCAAATTTCATACAGAATGATTATAGCTCTGGTTCTGAAGTCCTTACTCAGGCAAAACTCCAACTAAAAGCACTGTGAATTTTGCCTGTGTATGGATTTCAGGACTAACATTCAGATTACTAAATAAAGCACCATTATGAATTTTACACTTTACTGCTTTAAAGTTCCTGCCTCTATAAATAACTTTGTATGTTCCTTGTTGCATTGAATGGCATAGGGAAGGGGAACCTCACAAGTTACAAATAAAGGTCCAAATCCTGAATCCCCAGACCAACATACGAATACACAGGCTTTCTGTGAGGGGCTGGGGGCATGGAAACCTCCTTTTCCCCCGCACCTCAAAGAGCATTGACATAGCTGACCCAAAACTGCCACCTCACTCTCAGGCTTCAAGTAGCATCCAGCCCTTCTTCTCCCAGGGTTTTCTGGAAAGCTCATCGGCATATTAACAAAATAACTTGCCATATTGCTGCCCCTCCTGCTCACCTCGCCTATTAAATGCTCTGATGCATTGCTGTGGAGACAGCTACAGCAGAACATTGTTCCACAGGGAGCTAGTGGTTGGTCGGTCCCACTTTCCCCTGACCTCTGCTCAGACTTCTTTCTTCTCCACATAGCAGAACTGACAGTGTTACCACAAAAAGAAAAGGAGGACTTGTGGCACCTTAGAGACTAACCAATTTATTTGAGCATGAGCTTTCGTGAGCTACAGCTCACTTCATCAGGGGGGGCCGCCCCCCGGACAATTCCCAGTAAATCATCCAGAGGGCTTTTAGCCTGCCAAAAACCTCTAAGGAAGGAGTGGAAACTGCAGAAGACATTATATACACACAGAGACCATTGAGAAACAGCCATCTGAACCCCCAAACTCCCCTCTCCCCACTGTCCTGCTGTTAGACCCTAATCATTGTTGCCTTCACTCTCTCAAAGTGATCCATCCTTCTTAAGTGTGGGGCCCAAAACTGGACACAGTACTCCAAATAAGGCCCCACCAATGAAGAATAGAGGGGGAATAACCCCCCCCCCCTTTCTCCCTATACCCCCCCTTTCCAGCACAAATGCCATTGGCCTTCTTGGCAACAAGGGCACACTTGACTCAACCCTCCGTCCACCGTCCCCCCTAGGTCCTTTTCCACAAAGCAGTGACCCGCAGTGACCCTGTCCATCAGACTTTGGCCCATCCTCCAATTTGTCTAGGTCCTTCTTACCCCCCGGGTACACACTCCTCGGTTAGTATCTGAAAGTGAGGAAAACCTGGATTTGTGCTGGAAATGGCCCAACTTGATGATCACTTTAGATAAGCTATTACCAGCAGGACAGTGGGGTGGGAGGAGGTATTGTTTCATGGTCTCTGTGTGTATATAATGTCTTCTGCAGTTTCCACGGTATGCATCCGATGAAGTGAGCTGTAGCTCACGAAAGCTCATGCTCAAATAAACTGGTTAGTCTCTAAGGTGCCACAAGTCCTCCTTTTCTTTTTGCGAATACAGACTAACACGGCTGCTACTCTGAAACCAGTGTTACCACAGTTTTGTGCCCTCTTTGCTGGATGGGAGTCATAGGTTTTGTCCATCACATTAGATTTAGCAGACTTTAAGTTGTGCTGCGCTGGTGCATATCCAGAGTAAACTCCCCTGAAGTCAGTACAATGGAAAGCAGAGTCTGGCCCAGGATGTCTAATCTTTTTGGCTAGCTGGATAGGTCTAACATATTGCTCAAAATACAAATGCAATTTGTACGTATGCTCTGTTGAGCAGCACTGGACCCTGGCTGTTGAAGAACTGGGATTCATCTCATTTTAAACGTTAAAAAGACCTTCCCGTAAGTGGCATAGGTGATATTGTATCTGTAACTGTAGCTTTTATAAAGGCCGCAAGCCAAATTGGCATTTCAGAGCTGGAAATCGTACACCATTCACAGATAGGATATCTCCTTAGTCCTCTGATGTTTTATCCTGGCACCTATATACATTCCCTGTCTTATAATGAGGTCTTCACACAGCTCTGTCTCCATTTGCTAGGTTGGCTAGTTACCCCTTTAACTCTTCTTGAACCCAATTCATTTTTATATCACCTCCTGGGACAGGGTGGCCAACCTGTGGCTCCGGAGCCACACGCGGCTCTTCAGAAGTTAATATGCGGCTCCTTGTACAGACACCGACTCCAGGGCTGGAGCTACAGGTGCCAACTTTCCAATGTGCCGGGGGGTGCTCACTGCTCAACCCCTGGCTCTGCCACAGGCCCTGCCCCCGCTCCACCCCTTCCTGCCCCCTCCCCTGAGCCTGCTGTGCCCTCGCTCCTCCCCCCAGAGCCTCCTGCATGCCACGAAACAGCTGATCGGGAGGTGTGGGGAGGGAGGGGGAGATGCTGATCGGTGGAGCTGCTGGGTGGGAGGCGCTGGGAGGGGGAAACTGATGGGGGGCTGCTGACGTATTACTGTGGCTCTTTGGCAATGTACATTGATCAATTCTGGCTCCTTCTCAGGCTCAGGTTGGCCACCCCTGTCCTGGGACGTTAAGAACTTTACTCGGTTTGCAAGTGGCTGCTGCTGCCATCGCCTCTGGGCGGTGTATTTATAGGAGGTCCTTTGGAATGCTGACTTTTCAAAGGGAATGGATTAGTTATGTCAGCTAGCACTATAAGTGTGTCTTCAGAACTGGAGTGGCTAAGGGTATGTCTACATTGCAATTAAAACACCCCCTGCTGGCTCATAGTTCAGGCTATGGAGCTGTTCAATGGCAGGGTAGATATTCAGGCTCAGGCTGAAGGGGGAAGGCTTAGTAGAAAAGCCACAGCTGTGAATTCATCAGAGAGCCATTATTATAACAAATATAAAACTTGGTCCTAAATAAGCCTTGTCTGCTTATCAGTCGAAGGGCCCCAGGCAGTAAGCTCAACTCCACTTTTTCTTGACTTAGAAACATTGTTGTATATGTGCACATTTTCAGATCTAGATTACATGAGGATCATAGGGTTTGTAATTCAACCATTCACCTGAAAGGTTGAAGTACAGCAGTTCTTGAAGAAAAACATACTGAATCCAAGACTTGTTCAGCAAATTGCAAGTCTTCCTCATGAAAATCTGAACATCTAAAAATAACTGTAATGACTTAATTGCCTTTCTTTAAGCAGCAACTACATGGATTATCAAGGTGTGAGACATGGTAGCTTTATACAGAAAATCAAGTCTTCAGTAAATATACCATGTTTTCCTTGCCTTAAAAATATAAAAAAATTCTAAGCAGCTAGTTTATGATAGGTTTTGGTTTGCAAAGGGATCTGAAACTTTCACCTGTAGGTCACTGGTTCAAATCCAGACTGGACTGATAGTTTTAAAAAGTTCCTAATAAAGCAGTGTTTATAAAACACTACTTTTGTGATAGAAAGTGTGCGTTTTAGTGGGTTTTTTTTCATACAAAGTCATGGTTTTTGTCATCCCAGCCAGCTCTCTACTGAGCAGTACTCCTCTAATTTTTACAATTTTGACCCTATATGGGCTGGATCAATTAACATAAATTTATGTGGCTTGTATTGAATATTGTATTAATTTATGTAGAGTATCTGCTTAAATTTTTTAACTTGGGTGCTTACAGTTTTCAGTTACTGCATTCATACTTGCAAAGATTCACAATACTGTACTAATGTAGTATCATATTTCATTACTTACAATCATTACTGGCAAACAGTACTCATTTACTACCAATGCAAAACAGATGAGTCCACTTGAGCAGTACTTACAACAATGAGCTCATAAAGAAACTGCCTTCTGGGTCTGTTAGCATGGCAATCTTCCTTCAATTTCTTCACCACATACGCGACTCTTTCTGATTCTTTATCTGCTGGTACCTCACTGAAATCATCCAATGACATATGTGAATATCCTAGCACATCAGCCAAAGCTTTCCAGTTGTAAACTCTCTCCGATACCGTGGATAGGACTAAAGAATAGATATATGTCAATTTCTTAAAAGGCAGTGCAATTTGTTCCAGAAGATTCCTGGTTGGCAGCACGCTATCAGTGATATCTATAGCTTGTTCTTTTAAAATCACTTTTACATTTTTACAGTGCACTAGACCAATCTTTCTGCGAAGAACTCCCACATACCATTCTTTAACTTTAGTTTGTCCAATGGCTTTCACTTTATCTTCACCGAGAAACGCTATTGTGTCCCCTTTAAAATACTCTAGTAAATAGTCAATCTTACTTTGATGAAGCACAGATTTCAAGGCCACTCCATAGCTGGTAATATTTAAAGTCTTATCTTGAAACTTGGGGTATTTAACTGTCGGTGTCAATAAAAAAGGAGCAGATTTGATTTCTTTGCGTTTCTGTAAGCGGTTTGGCTTACTAGTCATCCCAGTTAATTTTGGAGCTGGATCGGGAGTTGTAATAGGGAATTGCGTCACTAGATTGTTGTTTGGGCCCTTAATCTGAACTAGGAAAGTGAACAAATGCATTTCCCCAGTTCCCAGTACAGAAAATGGAAACTGCAGGTGGACAACTTCACCTGCTTTCAACTGCCCTTCTTTAATTTCTTTGCTTTGATCTTCCATCTTCACTTCAAAATCAGGATCACGGGATATCAAAGAAACACTTAGATCTTGTGGCTTGTCAAGTAAAAATGTATGCTTTCCCCACCGATTAAACACCACTGGTGGCATGCTCTTTCCACCCTTTTTAATGTCACAAACTGTGAGTTTTTCTGGAATGTAGTTATGACCAAAAACAGTAAAAACAGCAGTGAAAGAAGGATGAATATGTTTGGGCCCATAAATTCCAATGCAGAGGTTTCTGTAGATGTATTCCCAAACAGATGTAGCCAGAGACTGAATTGGGTTTGCTTGTACTGCAACCACTGTGTACATCACATGACTTAGGTCTGTCAACTTCACTTGTATGGTATCTTTGTAAAGGTAGCAGTTGTGTAGCTTTTCAAAAGGACCTTCTTTGTTGAGACTATAAAACCCCATAATTTCAGTCATAACTTGACTGAAAGGATCCTTCTTCACTTCAGCTGCAATTTTCATTTCTAGTAAAATGGCTTCCATTGTGTTGAGGTTACTTAAAGTAAGTTCTATCAATGGGCTCACAGTGCTTGAAAGATCATGATTAAGTGATGGGGGAGGGTTCAGAATAGCCCGTAAACCAACCTCTTGGAATTCCCCAGGTGATACATGACCCTCAGGGATGTGAACAGCGATATCCGAGTCAGGTAGTTGCACTGAACCCCCTTCATGATTCAGTTTACAAACTACATGAGTTTCTGTAGGTTGTGTTTGTGCCCATCCTGGACTATGACTCATCACATCCAAATCTAGACAAGATCGGGCCAGCTGTCGATGACTCAACCAAGCCATCTTGTAGGCTTCACGGTCATTTTGAAGCCATTCCATGTCTGCAGCTAAAATCTGGCCAGAGGATGCTGTCTTGTCAGGATCAAATCTTTTGGCATCTACAATGTCCAAAAGCTCAGAGACACTCTTCGATTTTCCAGATTTCCCTGCTGAAGCCTTTCTTAGAAGATGATCAATATCTAGCTCATCACCTGATGAATCAAAAGAATCCCTGTTGCTTGAATCTCTGGAGAACAGATAGGGGTCTTCTTTTAAGATAGAAATGTGTTTACTGTTCTTGTCACTGTTACTTAACTGAGCTACATCAGATACAAATGGGTTGGATGCTGACAGATCATTCCGGAAAGGATTAGTCTTGGAAACAGTGTAAGCATGTTGTTTGAACACCTCAGGACAGTCAATGATTAAATCCAATTTATTCTCTTTGTCATCTGTTTAAAAAAAATTGAGGTAATTATTCCTATCCACACCCAAGCCCTATTTATTGGACAAAATGGGCCAAATTCATCTCTGCAGTAAACCTATTGATGTAGTTACAGTACACTAGGGCTAAATTTATCCCAAGTTAAAATTTGTATAGCTTGTAAAACATGCAGGGTCAGTTTATACCTTCATATTGCTTTTAAGGTTTTAAACATAACCAACAGAGTGTCAATCATGTGTTAGGATTAAAATTAGGATTAAAGAAGCAATATTAACAAAAAAGCACCAATAAATTAGTCCTTATAATAGGGCCTGATTTTGCAAGGTGTGGAGTATCTGCAGCACCTGCAATTCCCAGTAATATTAATGGGAGTTGAGGATGCTGAGCTCCATCAGGAGCAGATCCTTAGACTGTGTGTTCTAATGAATGTCGTCCACTAGGAAAGGTCATTGGCATTTTTGGCCTAGTGGCTTGCTGTGTGCAGAAATACAGTGGCTGATGCTTACATTTTGGAAACTACCATGTCAACATTGTAGAAAAGATCATACAACATTCAGGATTCCCTTTCTTCCTACATCTTAGAAAGGTTATTGTTAATTTCATTTGGTTTCAGTCTCAGAAGAATGTGTTGATGTTTTCACTGTAACAATTCATAACTCTCACCGCTATAGATTCAACTACTCATTTTAAATTTGGAATCAACTAAAGAGTGAATTTTTCATTTGATTATTTGAATAGTGAAAAGGAGTCAAAAGTAGAAAAACTTTGTTTCCTATATTGACAATATTTAAATACCCTTTTAGATTGAAATATGTATTGCTAACAATAAAATCTATTTTACTTATATCTATTTGTTATGGATGGATCTGTTTGTTAATTACCTTTCGTTTAGAGCTCATATAAAACCAAAATCCAAATGAATAAATTTGCATGATGACAACATATGCTGATTAAAGACTCCATTGCATGAGATGCTCATCACCCCCTGCAAGGAACTGTCGGAGTGATTTCAACTCCCATTGCCTTATACAGGTTTTCTGCATGCAGAGAATAATATAAACAGCAGGAGAAGGGATTCTTCCTCCTTCCCCATACACAGCCTGCCAGTAAAGCTCCTTTATCTTTATTTAAAAACCAATGAAAGCAGCAGCTCAGCCTGGTTTTATTTCTCTCTTTCAGCACACCCATGCCCCTCCCTTAATGTTGTCCCTCCCTATAGGTTACTGTTCCATCCCTAAGGTTACTGTAATTCTTACAAGTTGAGCAGTCATTATGCCAGCTTCACTCAGCATAGGAGAGGAGTGGCGTAGGGTGATATGGAGCTGATTACAGCTTCCTGATTCTCAGGATGAGGTCTGGCCCCAGTGGTACTTACAGCTGCTGCTGGACAAATATTGAGGTAGCAGCACTGATGTAAGATCCTTAATAGATCCTATACTCCCTTTCTCTCTCCCCTGACATGTCCCCTATACTGATGGCAGTAACGCAGACCTGGATCTGGTACAATAATACACCGCAGAGTTCCCCTATACCAAGGGAGCATTCTGCTAGGCATTGGAATTAGAATATGGCCCATTACACGCTGCCTGAGTAGTGCAAAGGAAACGTAATACAAAAGAGAAGCTGTCCCCTTGTATTTAAGGCAACATACGTATGAGCAGAGTAGTTCTAGATTGGATATTGACACCAATGGGAGTTTTGCCTGAGTAGAGACTTGCGGGTGTGTTGGCCCATTGTAATAAATATTAACAGACCTGACAACTCGCAGCTCGTTGAAGGTTTGCTCTCGTCCAAGTCAATCACAGTTCCTTCGGATCTACTCCGTGCTATCTCTCCAGTGTGAGAAGAAGCTGTTCTGCTAGCAGACATTTTTTCCTCCTAGGAAACAATAGGGTATGTTAGTGAGTGTACAGTTTGAGAAAGGGGAAGCTACTGAAGAATACTTGAGCACCAATCCTACAATGAGACACGTGGGAGACCCTGAGGTTTCCTCTTGGGTGCAGGTGTCGTCCCATGTGCATCACATTGCAGGACTGGAGCCTCAATATGTAAATTAAAAGTAAAAACACTACATTAAGCCCCCAATCCAGTAAAGCAGTTATGTCCCATAGGTCATGAGTGTGCTTTGCTGAATTGGGGCTGATTGCCACACAAAAAAAAATCCAATAATTTCAACTTACTGTGTCTCTAAGGAAAAATATTTTTAAAATAAGCCTTTTACTCTTTGCATAACCATCCCAATCCCTGTTTGGAGATAGGATTGAATAGAAAAATATTAAAAATGAAAAGCCACATCTGTCCATTCCCCTGCCAGTTTCAGATAACCAGCTTCCCCCCACTTCTGCTCAGCTGTTCTTTTTATGCATTTCTTTGGAGTGGACATCCTATCAGATTCTCCTCTTAGTCAACACTAATGTAAATCAGAAGCAAGCTCCTGTCACCGGGTGTCTGGCCCTTGTAAATGAAGCAGGTCCAGCACCCTGTGCCAGAACAGGCGCTCCCAGTCTAGCCAATTAAAAGGCAGGCAGCACCTGGGACTATAAAGGATCAGGGAGAAGCTGAGAGGTGAGTCAGAACTACCTGAGTGAGTCAGGAAAAGGGAGGAGAGAGAGCTGCCTGGGAGTAAGAGCGCAGCAGGGGAGAACTGTCATTGATCAGGAGACTGTAGGGGGGGAAAGGCAGAAGAGCAGCAAGAGGGGTTTGCTTTGCTAGCTGATTTCCCCAAGCCAGAGAGCCAAGGCTGGAAGGCTGAAGGCTAGAGAGCAGTAGAAGGAGTTGCCTGCTGACATCTCTGACCTGGAGAGTGGAAGCAGAGGGCCAGAGAGGGTTGTGAAGGCAGTGGAGAGGCTTACCTACTGATGACTCCATGCTGGAGAGCTGGAGTCAGAGAGGGCTAATGGACCAGGGGGAGCGAGGGATGCTCCCCCAGCAGAGAGGCTGTGGATGTACATGTGTGGAGAGAGTGGGAGTGCACTCCAGCGGGGGTGACTGTCCCGGCAGAAGGACAGCAGAGGACTGTCAAACTGCCAGGAGTGGCAGAAGCCATCAGAGTACGGCCTGTGGGGCACTGAGGGAACTAGATGTCCTAGGATTTTAAGGACAAATGCACAGCGGGTGATAAATGGACAATGCTTTGGGGACATGTGTTGTGGAATGTTTGTAATAAGCCAGACCAGGAGAGGTAGTACTGAGGCAGGAGAACCTGGCATAGAGAGTTACTGGAAACTCCGAAGGAGGGAAGCTGAGGCAGTCACGCCTGTTGTGCCACAGGCAGGTGCTCTGGGTGGGGCCACTCTGACACCCCCGTTATAGTCAATGGACATATCCTGACCTAATCCCAGTATAAGTGAGACAAGATTCAGCACCCCCTCTTCTTTACACTGGTTGGGATAGCTCTGCTCCTTCTCTGATGCCATCTGAGTGCTCAGTCTTAGCAATCTGCCATAGCCGGCCAAAGGAACCAGATAAACTTTACCTAGATGAAGGAGGCCAGCAAGATATGCATTAAAGAGCTAATCCCACCCCTCTTCTGCAGCCAGGGGATTCTGCTGTCTGGGGAGCCAGTACCCTGCTGCACTGTGTGTGCACATGGGCTTATTAAGGTTTTGAGAGCCGAGGGAGGGCAAGAGGAGTATGAAGTACCTGCAGTGCCCCAAGGACTAGAGAGGAGAGCTGTAAGATGTAGTGTTTCCTGGGTGCTGGGGGTTGCAGGGTAGACTGGGGTATCTTGCTACATCTTTAAAAGGAACAGCAAATGCAGTCCTGGTGATATGTACCATGAGGAGGGGGAGCTAGAAATATGAAGGGGAATTTCAGCTTTCAGTTAAATCAGCATAAGTTCTATCCCTTTTCCGTCTGGAGAGATGCCTGGAGATGTAAACACAGTGCTATAGCTGGAAAAAAAAATAGCAGCGGGGCTCCACAGCAGCAATAGGAAGCTGGGGGAAAATGAACAATCCCCCTTCCCCCCCCACACACAGATACACCACATACCCTAGAGACTCATTTTACATAGGAAGTCTGTATAGCCAAGGATCACCTTACTAACCCTCTCCAAAGCCTCAGGCTGGTTGTGTGTGTAGTGGGATGATGGTGATGGACATGAGCCAGTTAAGTTTAAGGCAATGGCCAGAATCGTTCTCCGGGCCTATCTCAAAATACTAAAGCCAGCTCTGCTTCGGGGACTGATGGACTACAGGCTGTCCCCCTATACAGGAGCAAGAGTGACAGCTAAGCAGCTCTTCTTCCCCCACATCTGCACAAACAAGATGTGTTGTGTTTGCTTTCTTCTGTGGCTACGAGAAAGTGGGAGCCTTGCATGTCTGGGTGTTTGGCTATGAAACTGCATGTAACACATTAATTGAAAGGTTTCAGAGTGGCAGCCATGTTAGCCTGTATCAGCAAAAAGAATGAGGAGTATTTGCGGCACTTTCCAGACTAAATAAATGTGTTAGTCTCTAAGGTGCCACAAGTAGACATGAATTGAAAGTGATGCTAGGGGAGATATTGGCGCTGCCTTGACTCAGTTTACAATTCATTTCATGGTGCAACATACTATGGTAAAATACAGATTCCTTCATCACAAGCTCAGAGCATCATTTTTGTTTTTAACCAGCAGGTACCACAAGCGGCAGGTGACAATCTGTTCCCAAACGGATGTCTGCAGAGGTAATGAAGCATTGCTGACGTTCAGGTTTGCCGGTCATCTGGACAGCAGCCCCATTTTCAGATTCCCCTGCCTTATCTGAAATCAAAACTACAAGACACATTTGGGGCCTGACTCACCTCCATTTTATCTTGTCAACCACTGATGTATCTCCATTGAAATCAATGGATCTATTCCTGATTTACACTGCTGCTATGTGATGAGAATCAGGCTCTTAGTCTATAAAAGGAGTTAGATCTGCTTGTCTGTTGTTAGGTCCATTATATCTATTTGAGATTAGGGCACTGGCTACATTAACATAAGAATCATCTGAAATAACTGAACTGCCCAACTACATTTGATATGAATACTCAGTGGGGTTAAGAAAGGATGGGGTCGGGGGAGGGCAAGGGAAGGGGGAGTTAAACTAGTCTGAGGTCTGCCAAAAACTCTGTTCTAGACTTAGGGACTACTGACAGTGTTAAATCTCTCTCTCAAATCATGAACAAGTGCTTTATAACCTGCGAGTCTTAGCTTTCCAAAGTTATAAAGCATTTATTTCTAGACCTGAGAGGCTGTTGAAATACTGAACCTTAAACTCACAATTCTCAATACCCTCATGCTTTTTTTTATTTTTTCCCCTCTCTCCTCCACCTGAATTCCAATGGGAGTTTAGTGTCTCCTATATCAAGAATTGCTCATACCAGAAATCTTAAACATGGAGCTTGGAATCCCAGTTTTCAGAAGGTATAAAATGTTAATCTCCAACTCTAGCAGTTAATGAGAGCTGCATTGCCTGATTGCCTTCTATGATGAGATAACTGGCTCTGTGGATATGGAGAAAGCGGTGGATGTGATATCCACTTTAGCAAAGCATTTGATACGGTCTCCCACAGCATTCTTTCTAGCAGTTAAAAAAGTATGGATTGGATGAATGGACGAAAGGGTGGATAGAAAGCTGCTAGATTGTCGGGCTCAATGGTAGTGATCAACAGCTTGGTGTCTAGTTGGCAGCCAGTAAAGTGGAGTGCCCCAGGGGTCAGTCCTGGGGCCGGTTTTGTTCCACATCTCTATCAGTGATCTGGATGATGGGATTAATTGCACCCTCAGCAAGTTCACAGATGACACAAAGCTGCGGGGAGAGGTAGATATGCTGGAGGGTAGGGAAAGGGTCCAGAGAGACCTAGACAAATCGGAGGATTGGGCCAAAAGAAATCTGATGAGGTTCAACAAGGACAAGTGCAGAGTCCTGCACTTAGGAAAGAAGAATCCCATGCACCACTACAGGCCGGGGACTGACTGGCTAAGTGGCAGTTGTGAAGAAAAGGACCTGGGGATTACTGTGGACGAGAAGCTGGATATGAGTCAGCAGTGTGCCCTCATTGCCAAGAAGGCTAACGGCATATTGGGCTGTATTAGTAGGAGCATTGCCAGCAGATTGAGGGAAGTGGTTATTCCCCTCTATTTGGCACTGGTGTGGCCACACCTGGAGTATTGCGTCCAGTTTTGGTCCCCCCGTTACAGAAGGTATGTGGACAAATTGGAGAGAGTCCAGCGGAGGGCAACAAAAATGGTTAGGGGCTGGGGCACATGACTTACGAGGAGAGGCTGAGGGAACTGGGGTTATTTAGTCTGCAGAAGAGAAAAGTGAGGGGGTATTTGATAGCAGCCTTCAACTACATGAAGGGGGGTTCCAAACAGGATGGAGTTCAGCTGTTCTCGGTAATGGCAGATGACAGAACAAGAAACAATGGTCTCCAGTTGCAGTGGTCGAGGTCTAGACTGGATATTAGGAAACACTATTTCACTAGGAGGATGGTGAAGCACTGGAATGGGTTACCTAGGGAGGTGGTGGAATCTCCATCCTTAGAAGTTTTTAAGGCTCAGCTTGACAAAGCCTTAGCTGGGATGATTTAGTTGGTGTTGGTCCTGCGTTGAGCAGGGGATTGGACTAGATGGCCTCCTGAGGTCTCTTCCAACCCTAATATTCTATGATTCTATTAAAAGCTTGCCCGAATTGAAGTGCAAATTAAAAGCCATCTTCTAATCTGAATACTGTGATTTCAAGGTCCAATATACCATGACCTGCCAATGCTAAAAAACACTTTGGACAATAGAAAAGCTTCCAGAGGTGAGAGTGTATAGATTTGTCAATGTGCATTAATTTTTATTGTATAATATCTGTGCCCCAAAATGTTCAAACAACATAAAATACTTTAAATTTATAATTTTG